AAACTACAGGATGCTACTCTTAATATATCAATTGGGCAAAAATTAGCAAGCATCTCAAATTGTGAACAATATGTCTTAACATGATTTTGTTACAATTGTTTAACAAGATTGTTAAACTTTCACAATATATAGTACTTCATAATGAATAAAGAAAACTGACATACACATTCATGAGTTGGAAGAGACAGTTACAAGTATAGGAAAACTGTTACCTGTTTTTTTTTAAAAGGAAGAAAATTAACTAGTACGTTGCTTAAATCTTGAACTTTTTCTTTAGAACACTCATCCTGTATAAATCCTAACAAGTGACAAAATAAGTTGTACATTCAAAGCCAGAGATTCATTTGTCAAGTGATGGATTTAGGAATACTTAAGCCAGGTGCCTCTGGTTCAGTCCTGTAATCCTCTCTATTCAGGAGTTTGAGATTTGAAGCTAACTGGGGCAGGAAAGTCCATGAAACTCTTAACCTCTAATTAACCACCAAAAGGCCAGAAGTGGAGTTGTAGTTCAAGTGGTAGGGCACTAGCCATGAGCAATAAAAGCTCAAGCCCCAGAATCTACACACACACACACACACACACACACACACACTTACACACTTGATCAGAAATAAGTCTTGACCATCTGTTAACAATTTTAATGATTGTGTTTGGTCTTTTTTAGTCACATATATTTTACAATCAGTAATTTTAGAAAGCATTTTGGAACAATTAGACACTATAAACATATGGCTTGAATGCATTAGCTTATTATTTGTACACAAGATCAATAAGGTATATTTTCTGTATCAAATAATTTCAAGATAGTTTTATGTCTAGAACTGTGATAAATATTTGAAATGGCAAAAACTATTATATGACAAACACTGAGATATTCTACTAGCTTACTCAAGCATCACATCTAGAATAGTAATGGAAATTTGAAAGCAAGAGATTCACTGGAGCTGTACTTACAACATACATGTAAGGATAATTTAGGAAATATAGTAACCTTCTATGCATGCTGAAAGTCTGAGTTTTTTCTTCTGATCTGAACTTACATTAACAGACAGTATAGGCTTCAGCTGCGTGGAATCAAGGTCTTCTAGTTTCACAAAAACAACTCTTTGTTAGTGCTATAATTCTGTGATAAAGACAGCATTTCTGTGAGTAGACAAGAACCTGGGCTTTGAGATGCTGAAACTGCTGAGACTCTGGAAATTCTAGCACTGTGGAAAGTGTTTTAAGAACTCCCGTAGTCACATGTGAAGAACATCATGCAAAAACATATCTGAGCCATTTAATACAGAATTGTCAGTGTAGCTTTGTGATGGAGGGAGTGCTCAGCATATATGAGGTTCTGCATTCCCTCCCCAGGGGAATAAAAACCTCAAACCTGCACCTTCATTAGAGGCTCAGTAATATCTTTCTATCTAGATTATATAATAATGGTTTTTCGTTTCTTTCCTATAATAATGGTTTTTGTTGACTTTTGTATCACTAATTTTTTTTTCTTTTTTTGGGTCTGGTCGTGGGGCCAGAACTCTGGGCCTGGCCGCTGTCCCTCAGCTCTTCAGCTCAAGGCTAGCGCTCTACCACTTGAGCCACAGTGCCACTTCTGGCTTTTTTCTTTTTGCTTATGTGGTGCTGAGGAATCGAACCCAGGGCCTCAGGCATGCAAGGCAAGCGCTCTACCACTAAGCCACCTTCCCAGCCCATCATATCACTAATTTTCTTGAAGCTGTTTGCTTCCAGATTCAGTCACATTTAGTCATTTTATTCTTCAGTTTTATGTTTTGCATTTACTAAGATTCTGGTTTATATTTTGAGGAAAATAATTTCTCATTTGTGCAGGGTCCCTGAACAAACCTCATTATACAAAGAAGAGAGCAACAATAATATGTATATATATACAGTGTGGGACCGGCAAAACTAATCTGTGTTTATAGATGTGCACATAATAGTGAGTTGGCAATTGACCAGAAAGGAATCATGAAATTTTAGTTACACTCAAATTCTGATTCCTATAATCTGTACTACTTTAAATATGCAGTATTGTCTTTTAAACATTTTATTTACCGCGCGCACGCGCGTGCGTGCGTGTGTGTGTGCATGTGCTGTGACTTGAACCCAGCAACTCATGTCCCTTTTTTGCTCACTACTGGCAGTCTACTATTGAGTAACACCTCCACATCTGTTGTTTTTTTTTTGCTAATTAATTAGAGATAAGAGTCTCTGTCCATTCTGGCTTTGAACGTCAGTCCTCAGACTTCAGCTTCCCCAGGAAGCTAGTATTGCTAGTCTTATAGCAAGAGCTGTAGGCAAGAGCCATCAGTACCTAGTGCTCAACTTCATAATTCTAATGACTGCCTTGAAGCTTATTGCCACACCTTGGACAATAATTATTATCCTTGAAGTTCTGGACAATACAAGTGTTTTAAAGATGTAGAGACATTCTGTCACTGTAGTTAGCTTGGTCAGATACCTTAAAAAGCAAATAACAGAGGGGATTAAGATTAGGGGGAATTAACTTACTTAAAGTACACTGTGCAGGTATGGAATTATTACAGTGAAACTCACTTGTATGCCAATAAAAATACAAGAGAAAAGACAAAAACACTTTCAAATTTTTTTTTTTTTTTGTCAGTCGTGGGGCTTGAACTCTGGGCCTGGGCGCTGTCCCTCAGCTCTTCAGCTCAAGGCGAGGGCTCTACCACTTGAGCTACAGGGCCACTTCCGGTTTTCTGGTGGTTTATTGGAGATAGGAGTCTCACGGTCTCTCCTGCCGGGGCTGGCTTTGAACCGCGATCCTCAGATCTCAGCCTCCTGAGTAGCTAGGATTACAGGCGTGAGCCACCACCGCCCGGCATACTTTTAAATCTTTTTGACTTTATAGTTGATGTTTTAACCTGGAAATCCCTGTTTCCTCCTTTATAAAATAGAGATATTATTTAACCAAGTTATAGGTGTTTACATAGGAATATGCATCTAGCAGCGTAGTGTTTGGTATATAGTAGGTTTTCAGTAAACACTCACTGTTGAAGAAGTAGCTAAGAACAGACCAGATTTAACCATTGCCTTCAACTCAAGGTAGGGGAAATAGATTTTTGCTAGGCAGTTAAGCAGAGGAAGACATGATTGCTTATAATTTGTGAAAAATCTGATTTTATTCTTAGAAAAATTCCCTAAAGAGGTACCAGTATATAGCTACTTGGGAAGCATAATCAGGAGAATAGTAAATTCATGACCAGCCCAGGCTAAAGGTAGGAGACTTTGTCTCAAAAACAAAAATACAAATTGGTGGGTGCCAGTGGCTCATGCCTGTAATCCTAGCTAATTGGGAGGAAAGCAGTTTCAGGTCAGCCTGGGCAGAAAAGCTTAAGCTGGGCATGATGGGTATGCTCTTATCATTGCAGCTCATGTAATGGAAAGTGTAAAATAAGCAGATCATGGTACAGGTGTGGGCCAAGACAAAAAGTAAGATTTTATTCCAAAATAACTAATACAAAAAAAAAAAAAAAAAGGTGGGAGGGGGGCTGAAGATACGGCCTCTTAGTGGAGCACCTGTTCATCAAACAAGAGGTCCTGAGGGTCAAAGAGTATGGCTCAAGTGGATGAATGCTTTCCTAACATGCCAGGCCTAGAGATCAATCAGTACTACCAAAAATAGTTAATAAAACATATCATCATTGTATTGACAGGTATCTCTTGGTAACCTGTCCATTTAATTTATGGCCATTTAACCAGGTTGTTTTTTTTCTTGCTGTGCTTATTTGACACCTATTACACCACTAATAAATAAAGGATAGCTAAAGAAGGTAGACAACAATAGCTTATTATAAGCCGTTAATATAAATACCTGAAGCTTATGGTCACTATTGCTTGTGTAGTTAAGGGACAGAGGGCAGAAAACATTTTGGTCCTGGAAACAAATACCAATGTGTAAAGCCAGGCATTGTGTTGCACACGTCTAATCCCAGCACTTGGGTGGCTGAGGCAGGATGACTGTAAGTTTGAGGCTAGCCTGGGATCTTAGGAACAACGTGTCAATTAAAACAAAAAGAAAGATGTGTGGTTACTACTGTTCTGACTTCATAGCTACTCCTGTTCTTGTTATGTACAACATTAAGTTGTACATTATCCAAACTTAATTATGGCTTCTCCATACTGAGAATGCTTTTGAGTGCGTGCCTATGAAATGTAGGCTTGGATACACCAGTTACTTTTAAGGGTTATTTTTGTTGGTGGTGGTTGTGAGGCTTGAACTCAGGGCCTGGCTGCTGTCCCTGAGCTCTTTTACTCAAGGCTAGTGATCTACTACTTTGAGCCACAGCTCCACTTCCAGTTTTTGAGTGGTTAATCGGAGATAAAGAGTCTCACAGGAACTTTTCTGCCTGGGTTGGCTTCAAACCTTGGTTCTCAGATCTCAGCCTCCTGAATAGTTACGATTACAGGTGTGAGCCACTGACACCCAGCTCTACTTTTAAGTTTTGAACTAAAATAAAAGCATTTTGCCAATTTGACGTGCCAGGAAGGAGGAACAAACTGCTTTGGTTTGTTTAAAGCTAGGTCATGGGGGGCTGGGAAGTTGGCTCAGTGGTAGAGCGTTTGCCTTGCATGCCTGAGGCCCTGGGTTCGATTCCTCAGCACCATATAAGCAAAAAGAAAAAAACCAGAAGTGGCACTGTGGCTCAAGTGGTAGAGCACTAGCCTTGAGCTGAAGAGCTGAGGGACAGTGCTCAGGCCCAGAGTTCAGGCCCCACTGCCAGACCAAAAAAAAAAAAGCTAGGTCATGGACCTCTTTTGAACATTGTTTATGTCTGCAGTAATCCAAAATTTGTATAACTATCTTGTGTATAAATAGTCATCTTCTACTCAAATATATATTTAAACTACATGATATTTTGTGATCCTATGGTAAGAATAAACAGGTAAAATTAATTTTATTCAAACTAAGACAAATTAACTTATCTACATTTTTTTGGTCTTTTCTTCCTACTTTGTCTTCTTCTGTTAAGTAGGATAAGTTCTGAACGCCGAAAAGAGAAGTCCAGAGATGCAGCCAGATCTCGGCGAAGCAAAGAGTCGGAAGTATTTTACGAGCTTGCTCATCAGCTGCCACTTCCCCATAACGTGAGCTCACATCTGGATAAGGCTTCTGTTATGAGGCTTACCATCAGCTACTTGCGTGTGAGAAAACTTCTTGATGCTGGTAAGTTCTAATACAAGGGCACCATAGGCCTAAAAATGAGAAAATAGAAGTATTCATTATTTTTAGCAGGTGGTCGCTATGGTTAGCTTTTAATACCCAATATGTTATGGTGTTTAATTAAAGTTATAATTAAAGATTTTAATCATTACTATTTTTATCAAATTTTATTTTTCTTCCTAAGTTGCTCTTAGAAACGGTTTTCTTTGCATTGTTAAGTTTTGTTTTATTCTCTTGAATATACTCTCGTGTTAAACAAAGTGAGCCACATTTAAAAGGACAAAGACATGTTTTCTCTCATGGGAATTCTAGCCAAAAGATAAACATATACACATATACATGTACTTATGTGAGCATGTGTGTATAAAACTCTGATAGTAACAAAAGGACATAAGAAAGAGGAAGAGAAGAAAATGAAGGTGGGTTAATGATATTGAAATATAATAGAAGTATAAAGGGAGATATGGCAAGAGCAATATAGAGGGGCTTAATGTAACTGGAGGGCTTGTGCAAGTGTGGAATATCATGGTGAAGACCCTTCCTACAATTAATATTCACTAAAGAAAATGACAGGATTGTATAACTGTTTCTGTTAGAGGACTGGGCACCAATGGGACTGAGAAGATGAATTAAGTATGTTACATGTATGAATGAAAATAGAACAGTGAAACCTAAAGAGGTTGTTTTAAGAACAGGAGAAGGGTGATGAGGGAGAATGATGGGGTTTGACTGATCATTGGACATTGCTTGTACATATTGTACAACCAATATATGTTTAAAAAATACTTTCAATTCTTCAATAAGACATCTTTTTAAAATAAATACTCTTAAAGTTTGGTTCAGAAATTTTTGAGAAATTAACTTTTTGTTCCTCTGCATTCCTTTGAAGACCTAATTCTTTTTTTTTTTTAAAGGGTTTTCTGGGTTGCTGTCTTGTTTGGGTTTTTTTTTTTTTTTTTTTTGTAAAGATACTATACAGAGGGTTACAGTTACATGAGTGAGGTAATGAGTACACTTCCTCTTGAACATTGTTACCCCCTCCATTGTTTTCCCCCTACCATCCCTTCCCTCCCTCCCTTCCCCAGGTTCTTTTTTTTTTATTGTGATTAAGTGATTACATAATTTCCGGAATTTCACAGTATTGTGGAATAATGATGCTCATTTAAAGTCACAAGTTCATTCTAACTTTCCTGGAGCAAATTGTCTATCACAGTCTGTAACATATAACAGTGTTCACATGTTATATGCCATATATGTGATCAGCAGCATGGGGATATTTAGTAGTGGTTCAACCAGATGAGTGGGAGTTCTTTGTTTCTTAAGTCCTTAAGTCCTGTTAGTTTTGTTGTATCACCTAATATTTTGGATTTAGCATCCACTTATCAGGGAGACCATGTACCGTTTGTCTCTTCGCTCTTGGCTTACCTCACTCAACATGATTCCTTCTAGCTCCATCCATTTCCCTGCAAATGCCATTATTTTGTCATTTCTAATGGCTGCATAATATTCCATTGTGTATAGATACCACAGTTTTTGGATCCATTCATCTGTGGTGGGGCATCTGGGTTGTTTCCATATCCTAGCTATTGTGAACAGTGCTGCAATAAACATGGAGGTGCACGTGTCCTTGTATATTGGCTCCTGTTGTTCAGGGTAGATGCCTAGAAGTGGTATGACTGGGTCGTAAGGGAGGTCAATCTTTAGCTTTCTAAGGAGCCTCCAGACTGCTTTCCAAAGTGGTTGTATAAGTGTACATTCCCACCAGCAGTGTAATAGGGTTCCTCTTTCTCCACATCCCCTCCAGCATTTGTCGTTGGCTGATTTGTGGATGTGGGACATTCTGACTGGGGTAAGGTGGTATCTCAGGGTTGTCTTTATTTGCATTTCCTTCACCACCAGGGATGATGAACATTTCCTCATGTGTTTCTTTGCCATTTTTATTTCTTCATTTGAGAAGTCCCTCTTTAGTTCCCTTGCCCATTTAGTAATTGGTTTGTTAGGTTTGGGAGGGATTAGTTTCTTGAGTTCCCTGTATATACAGGATGTTAACCCCTTGTCTGATATATTGCTGGTAAATATTTTTTCCCAATTAGTTGGTTGTCTTTCTAGCTTGGTTGCGATAGATTTAGCTGTGCAGAAGCTTTTTATTTTTAAGGTAGTCCCATTTGTCGAGTCTCTCCAACTTGTTGTGACCCTGGGACTCTGTTCAGGAAGTTCCTTCCTGTGCCTATTCGTTCAAGTGTCTCTCCTACTCTGTCCTGCAGTAGTTTCAGAGATTCAGGTTTAATGTTAAGGTCTTTAATCCATTTTGAGTTGATGTTGGTGCATGGTGATAGGCTGGGGTCCACTTTTAGTTTTCTGCATGTGGCTGCCCAGAGTTGAAGAGGCTGTGTTTCTTCCATTGTATGTCTTTGGAAGACCTAATTCTTAACACTTCTTTTTTCAGTGATTTGCCTGGCTGCATTACTTTAAATAATTATGAAAAACAGTTGACAAAATCTAATTTTAGCATTCTTAGCTTCTGGCTGTGACTCTTTTCTGTATTAAAATAAAAGCTGGTTGCTGGTGGTTCACACCTGTAATCGTAGCTTTTTAGGAGGCTGAAACTTAGAAGATTGAAGTTTGAAGCCAACCCAGGCAGAAAAGTCTGAAAGACTCCACCCCTAGTTAACCAGCAAAATGCTAGGCTGTGGTCATTGCTCAAGTGGTAGAGTGCTGTCTGTGAGCTTGAGGCCTTAAGTTCAAACCCCAGTACCAAGAACCAATTTTTTTTTAAGTTGGAGAAGGGAAAATTAAATTATACAGAAAAATAGCTGCTGTAGATATTAAAGAAATTATATAGAAAGAAAACATTATGTCACTTACGTATAAATCCTAAATTATTTTCCTCCTCTTATGTGCTCTTTAGGTGATCTGGACATTGAAGATGAGATGAAGGCCCAGATGAACTGCTTTTATCTGAAAGCCCTGGATGGCTTTGTTATGGTGCTAACAGATGATGGCGACATGATTTACATTTCTGATAATGTAAACAAATACATGGGGTTGACTCAGGTAAAACACCCGTATACGAATAGCTCTTCAGAATGTTTTGTGATTTTTATCATGTAGATCTAATTTTTTTAAATATATTTACAGTTTGAACTAACTGGACACAGTGTGTTTGATTTTACTCATCCATGTGACCATGAGGAAATGAGAGAAATGCTCACACACAGAAATGGTGAGAAGAAAGTGTATTATTTGATTTAATGTGACAGGTAGTTTTTCTTAATCTTGAAGTTTGTTATTTACTAATCTCAGAGAAAACATTATTTTACATTTAATAAAATGTTAAGGCTATTCTTTAAAACTTACTCTGCTTTAGGAATTTAACAAAGGACATCACTTTCTTTAACCCACAGAATTTTATACACACATACAAACAGATAAAATAGAAAAGAATATCAATATCAAGACCAGGAAAGTTACTGATTAAATTCAGTATTACAGCCTCAAGAGACCATAATATAAATTGCAGGCAATAGGATTTTGGAGATATTAATCCAGAGATGTCAACTTTAAGAGCACAATGACTGCTTTGACCTCTAAAAACACTTTATTAAACTGAGACTATGTCGTATTATAAAGTATAATGAATGACCACACAACAAAAGCAATATGATTTCTGACAAAATTCTAAGATTTTTGAAAGGTACCTTGGCTTGCATTTGTGTCTTCTAAGGGTACTGACTATAATCAAACTTTGTAAGTTACCATAGTGAAAATTTGTTACTATGCTCTAACGTCTTCACTAATCCCTGGATTCAGTTTATTAGATTGCTTCTGTATGAAACAGCTTCTAACTTTATAATGCTTTTTGAATAATTTTTAAGGTTTCTTTTTTTCCACCCTAGTTTTAGTAATAGTAGCCCACCTGTGTTGAGAGCACAGTCTATGCCAGAACACTATTTTCTGCATTTTATAGCTTTAAGTTTTTTTATGAACAACCCTGTAAAGTTACTGTTAATGGTTTCTATTTTGCTCTAGAAACCGAAGCACCAAGTTACTGAGTAGCTTAGCCAACATTAATTGGTTAACAAATGACATATTTTGGTTTGAACTCCATAGGCTGCGTCAGAGCCCATACTTTTTTGTACCCAGAGTCTTTGTGTTCTTGAGCTCTTGTTACATTCTACTGTCATTTTTATATCAGCACATGCTTTCTCTGCTTTTTAATTTCATATTGGTTTTTACTGTGACATTGGAAAACAAAAAAATATGTATTTTTTATTAAAATTCTGTAAGAAGGAATACTCACTGAGCAAAGATCTATTTTTTGCCAGTGAGTTGAATATGTGTTCTCATATTTAGACTTGAGGTTGCCATTAATGCCCAGTGCTTCCCTGAGGCTGTACTATAGTGGATGAGTATTAAGAAATGTTGATTTGTTATCTAAAGCGCAAGTATAGCCAACTTAGTATTATCTAAGTGTATGTTTTCAAGCAAATACATCTTTTTAAAACCCATAATTTAAATAAATCATTTCTAGTGTAGTTGATGAATTTGTGAAGCTTTGTGGAGAAACTTGAGTTTTACTTTTAGAAATTGGAGGCACTTGCAAAACATCACATTTTAAAAAATTTATCTGTATGCCCCCAGTCCAAGGCATTACATTATGAAGTGCTGAAAATATCTCAAGGAAGTCATATGTGAATCTACTGATACCACAACTCTCATCACAGACACTCCTTCAGGCCTGTACCCTCACCAAGTCCAGAATGATTCTTGTGGCATCTTTTTAAAGACTCTTGATGTTAATGGGGAGAACTGAACCCAACCAACTTGCCTCAGTATCAGGACTTCCCTAACTTCCTTAGTTCTGTTACTAAATATGAGTGTAAAGTAGAACTCATCTCATTAAGTAGTTGAGCTTTTCTAGCTTACTATACTTGAATTCAAATTTACTGACTTGTTTCTTTTCCTCTTGAATATTCTTTAAATATACTACCCTTAAATTTTCCAGATCTTAGCTGGGCACAGTGGCTCATGCTATAATCTTAGCTGTTTAGGAGGCTGAAATTAGAAGACTGTGATTTGGGACTAGCCTGGGGGGGGGGGATTTTTTTTTTCAATTGTGAGTAATCTAGTTGTTACTAACCTGAGCCAGGCCCTCATACTTGTAGCTCATACTTGTAGCCTAGGTACTTCTGAGTTCAAATCTGAGGGTCACCATTCAAAGCTAGGTCAGGCAAGAAAATCCATGTGACTCTTGCCTCGAATTAACTACCCACCCTCAAAAAAAGGAGAAAAAAAAAAGCCGAAAAGAGCAAATGTTCAAGTGGTTGAGACTAGCCTTGAGCAAAATAAAACAAAAAACACCTCAGGGACAGTTTCAAGGCCTTGAGTTCAAGCCCCAGGACCAGCCCCAAAACAAAAAGAGACTGTTAGGATTGTTTCCACCTATCATCTCAGCTATAGCATTTTGTGTAAGAGCATTGTGTTCCAGGCTTGTTTGCAAAACATGAGTCTATCTCAAAAATAACTAAAGCAAAAGGGCTGGAAGCATGTCTCAAGTATTAGAGCACCTGCCCAGCAAAGCACAAGGTCCCGAGTTAAAATCCCAGTGCTGTTCCCCACAAAATTTCCAGATCTTTTTGTCTTCCTTTTTATTTCCATTTTATATTTTGTTATCCTTCTTTCCCCTCCTACCACTGTTTCTGGCTTAGCGTTTGATTGCCATTATTCTGTTCAAATGATCATATGTATACTAAATCATAACAATGCCAACTTAATGTTCCTTCAGTTTATAGTTGTGCTTCCCAACTCAGAATTAAAAAAAAAAATGTCACATAGTTAGGCTGAACTTGTCATTTGGGAAACCAAGGCCCTCTATAGTAATAACCCTAACCTTCCTTCTAATTTTATTACTCTGATATATTTTTTTTTTCCTATTACCCAAACAGGTGATATTTTTCCTTACCTTTGTGCTTCTCAATCTTTTCCTTCTGCTAGAATACCCCTCTAACCCATCTCTATGTACTGAAATTCTAATGTATCATATTCTGAGACCTTCTTGATTTCCCTTGATGAGGACTCTTCTATATATCTGTTTTTTAAAGCACTTAAAAGTCTTGAGTACTTAACTTTGCATTATATTGTTGCTGTTGACCCTACTCTGTATACAGTATGTCTAACTTCTCCAGGAAAGGCATGTTTCTAATTATTCACATTATCACCTATAATACACGTTTCAGACTCTTTTTCCCCCCAGTCCTGGGACTTGAACTTAGGGCCTGTGGGCACTGTTCCTGAGCTGCTTCTGCTCAAAGCTACCATTCTACCAACTTGAACCACCACGCCACATCCAGACTTTTCTGAGTAGTTTATTAGCAGTGAGAGTCTCATGGACTTCCCTGCCCAAGCTGGCTTCAAACCATGACCCTCAGATCTCAGCCTCCTAAGTGGCTAGGATTACAGGTGTGATGTAAGCCACCAGTGCCTGGCTCATTCCAAGCCTTTAATACTGGAATGAATATTTTTATTTGTTTTGAATCAGAGTAAGCACTGAAGAAATCAAGATGCTATTTAATCACCTGAATGTAATTTCATTTTAGTTGTGAAGTATGGAATGAGACTCCATAGACTTGAATTTATCTAATTCTGACTTTGCTTTATGTCTGTAATTTTATTTCTTTTGTCCTGGGAATCAAACCCTTGCTAGGCAAGGATCCTACTACTGAGTTACATCCATAGTTCCTATTTGTAGCTGCACTGCCATGACTGGTATATTTCTAGTCCTTTGTTCCCCCAATAGGAATAAAGTAGAAACACTCCAACCAACTGGAGAATCCCAACAATCTTGTTTATAATACTTCTAAGGAGAGGGTATCAGGCCTTGTGGGCGTGTTGGAATAAGTAAAGGGGATATATATGAATTACTGAGTTAATGCTGGGACTGTAGTTAAACAGCATGTAGCTGCTTGGTACTTTGCTATTATGAGTTAAAATGTTCTCCTTTTTTTACTAGGCCCTGTGAAAAAGGGTAAAGAACAAAATACACAACGAAGCTTTTTTCTCAGAATGAAGTGTACCCTAACTAGCCGAGGGAGAACTATGAACATAAAGTCTGCAACGTGGAAGGTAAGAAAACTTTAAAATTATGAGAGGAGCCAAGCATGATGATATATACCTATAATCCCAACTACTAGGGAGCATAGATAGGAGGATCACTGTTTGAGGCCAGCCAGTCAAAAAAGCAAGACCCCACTTCAGTCAATAAGGTTGGTTCAGTGGTGTATACCTATGATACCAGCTCCATAGGAGTAGGCATCGGTACAGACATCATCGTGGTCTGAGGCCAATCCCAGGTAAAAATGCCAAGACCCTACTCCCAGCAAATAACTTCAGCAAAAAGGGCTGGGAACATAGCTCCCTAGAACACCCTGCTTAGCCAGCATGACCCTGACTTCAAACCCAAAAACATATATGGAGGAAAATTTTCCTTGTTTGCAGGCTTTCACTTGTTTGCACTTTCAGCTGATTTATGTGTCATTCCCACAAATTCAGAACTATCTAGTATTTTTCCAGCTTAAGATATTAATAAATTTTTGAATTTTAAGATTTGTATGCCCAAGCAAGCTTAATCCATTGGCTTTGCCAACCATCTAGTGTTGAATACTGCTAAGAATTTAATTTTGTATTCATCGTATGATTTCTTTGCTCAGTAGTGAAACAGTCATCAGAGCAAAATATCAACCAACTTCAATGACCAGATGTACAAAAAAAAAAAAAAATCAATCCAGGCTTATACAAAGAGGATTAAAAAAAAGTAATCTCTAGTACCAAGGGAATCCTGGGGAAAATATTTATAGACTTTCAAAAATGCACTCAATGATCGTAAATCTTGTCAAAGCTTGTCATGTCAGACTCTACTACTTACCTCTGCAGTTTTGTTCTAGCACTGAAAATTTCAAAAGCACCATTGTTTTCTTATGCATAGGTACTTCACTGCACAGGCCACATTCATGTGTATGATACCAACAGTAACCAGCCTCAGTGTGGATATAAGAAACCGCCCATGACCTGCTTGGTGCTGATTTGTGAACCCATTCCTCATCCATCAAATATTGAAATTCCTTTAGATAGTAAGACTTTTCTTAGTCGACACAGCCTGGATATGAAGTTTTCTTATTGTGATGAAAGGTAAATTAGTTATGCAATGTAATGTGACAACTACAGCCTTTTAAAATAGCCATCATAGTGAAGACTCAGCAGTAAATTTTAAGCTTTCATTAATTTGAATGGATTGATACATATGGAACCCATCAATATTAAATTTAGCCACTTTTATTAAACATTAGGTGCTATACAAGAACTGTTAAGATGAGGCTGCCTCATTTAAAATGAGAAAGTAAATTTCAAAGATAACTGCTTATAGGCTAGATAGCTGTTTTAGGTCATTTGTTTAACATACATTTTCCTAAACACATCGACGATTACCCCTGGTTTCTACTGCCATTTTCCTTTCTGTCACTATTGTGAAATTGCCAACTTGACATTCTTCTATTCTACAAAGTATTTCTGTTGCTCAACTGTGCAGTGACTGCTCCCATACAGTATCATAAACTGCTGCTCCTCTCATATCTAACTCGTTAATATACCACTGCAGATGAAGGTCATCCATCCCATTTACCATCATCCATACTCATTTAGTCTCTATGTCCTAGAAATTACTATCAGCATGTATCTCTCCATTTCCTCTTTTTTACCCTTGCCATCCTGCCTCTTAGTTCATCACCTCATTATTACCTTTGGCTTGATCAGTTGTAATAGTCTCTTCAACTACATTTCTATTAACAGATTTATGCCCTTTTAATCATCCTCATGTGAAGATCAGTTCATGCTAATCTCCTGTTGGAAATGTCTCATTTGCTTCCCAAAACTCTAGGTATAATATTTTTATTTCTCAAAAGATGTCCATTTTAAAAGGCTGAAAGAAAAAGACTTACACTATAAACTTCTTGGAATGCCAAAGATAGTTATGACCTGGCCCCTGCCTGTTTCTCCAAATTAACTGGGGGGAGGGGGGATCGGGACTTGAGACACTCCATCTGGATGTGGCCTCAGTATCCATCCCATAGCCAGTGAGTTTCATATGCTATTTTCATGCCTACTGTCTTTACTCATGCTTTCTAATATGAGCAAAAGTTGGTTTTTTCGACCTGATACATGCTTACCTTCTAAGAGCTTCTATTCCTCTGTGTAGTTTTCTGTGTTCCTTCAAGAAGATAGGTATTTTGTACACAAATATCTCATTTATTGTATGGTTGTGTTGTCTCCCTTTTTCCCCCTTTTGTACTGCTGTATAATAGAATGGTTAAAATGTATAGACTCTGTAGCCAGAATCAAGTTCTGACACATGCATGAATTCGCTGAACATCAGTGTCAACCTTTTCTGTCTTCCTTTTTTTTTTTTTGTCAGTTGTGAGGCTTGAACTCTCAGGGTCTGGGCACTGTTCCTGAACTATTCTGCTCAAGGCTAGTGCTCTACCATTGTGAGCCACACAGCATCACTTCCTGTTTTCTAGTGTTTATTTGGAGATAATTGTAACCCCTCTGTAAATCATCTAGACAATTAAAAAAAAAAAAGTCTCATGGACTTTCCTACCCAGGCTGGCTTTGAGCCATGCTTCTTAGATCTCAGCTTCCTGAATGAATAGCTAAGATTACAGGTGTGAGCCACCATTACTCAGCTCAGTTTCAATCAATTTTAAGCACTTAGCCTTAATACAGGTACGAATCCTTTACCCTTCGGACAGAGAAATGTTGAACGAGTTTACATAGTGATTTTAAGACTCATTATCTGTCTAAGTAAGGGTCAGACTTCAAAAGGCTGTTAAGAGGACTAAAGGAGTTTGTTGAGGCCTAGTACAGTCCCACTGGTATCAATTTTCCGAAAATAAAGATAGGAAAAGAACTGTTTTGTATTGTGTATTGTTGACACTCAGTGATTTTGGTCATGATGGAACAGAGATGCTTGTCCTACTATTTTGAGGAATTTTGGGTTGGTTTTTTTTTTTTCTCTTGGCAAACTTGTAATGATGTATTGGGTGAGAAAATAATGCAGCAAAAAGAGAAAAGGGAGTGTTTTAACAGACACTTAACAATTGTCATGATAGGGGTGAAGAGTAAAGACAGGGAGAGAGTAAGGGAAGAGGTGACATTGTCAAAAAAAAAAATACTCATTACCAGACAATGTAACTGTAACCCCTCTGTATATCACCTTTATAATAACAATTAAAAGATAATTGTATTTTTAAAGACAGCTTAAAGATAACTGAGAGAGGAAGACTATCTTTTTCGTCAGAGTTCTTTCTAAGAGTTTCTTGCATCTATAACCCTTGATAACCATGACATGGAAAAAAATGTGCCTGGTTTTAAGAAAACCTCACATTAAATTGCTAACATACAGACTACTACTATGTGGAATACACTGAGTGATAATCATTCTACACATTTATTTGAGCATCTCCTATGTTCATGGCCCTGATGTACACAAATGAAAAGACCATTCCTCCCCGTAAGATGCTTATAGTGAATGAATGGTGCACTGCATGGTTGCTTTAAGATCAGAGTTTTCAGGCTGGGAAGGTGGCTCAGTGGTAGAGTGCTTGCCTTGACTGCATGAGGCCCTGGGTTTGATTCCTGAGCACCACATAAACAGCAAAAGCTGGAAGTGGCGTTGTAGCTCAAATGGTAGAGTGCTAGCTTTGAGCCAAAGAAGTTCAGGAATAGTGCCTAGGCCCTTCAGTTCAAGCCCCAGGACTGGCAAAAAAAAAAAAAAAATCATTTCGATCAAATTTTAAGAATTTTTTTCTCTTATTTTTAGTTACTATATAATTCTCTAAAGTTAAATTTACTTTACCTTACTTCCTGCAATATAAAGTTGGCTAGGAAAAAAACAATCTAGTGTCCCTTAGTAATGAACAAGATTGAATAACACTTGGAGACATCTGATTAAATCACAGCTTCTTAAGACAAAACATACATGGCCTTCATCTGATCCTGATCCTGCCTGCTTCTCCAGTCCATCTCCCTTCACTTCCCCTCACTAATCACATCAAAATCTGTTACCTACACCAAATTTTTCTCTACTTTTTTTGATGCTGTAACTTCTTTTTGAAATGGTTGCTTTTAAAGTATTCCTTTGTAATGCTGCCATCTAGTGTTAATGTGTTTGGGGACATCATTTTGTAAAGTAATAAGGAGACTGGTTTTGTTTTTGATAAATCAGTTTTCTGTTTTAGAATAAACTTGCGGATGGCATATCCCGCCTTAAAATGTAACAACATAAAAGAGTATCTCACATATTTTATTAATAAGAATGTGACACATATCCTTCCTGTAATTGGGTAATTCTGTTTGCTTACTTTAGGATACAGCACAATATCTAACTTTTCCTTATATCTCAGTAAGAAAGTCATTTAAAAATCTAAAGGCCTGGAAATCTACTCATTTTTTTCTTCCCAGAAAGTTTTTAGAAGAGAATATTTCTTTTTAGCATAATGCCAAGAAGATAACTTTGTCTCATGAAGTGAGTTCTCATTGTCTAGATACAGAGAGCTGCCAGGGAACCATATGGCTTAACTAATCTTCAGCCGATTTTCAGTTTGATGTCATTGCTTCACCTGAAATTAATTTTCATTATTTCATGCAACTAATTGTAGGAACTAAGTAAAAGAGGATCTTCTAAAGTCACAACTATTCCTTTATATCCTAATTAGTGTGGATACTCTTTGGTTAATGATCCTAGACTTTTATAGCAGGTTCTGATTCCTGAAAAATAATGTAGATTTATTCTGTATTTTAAAATAAATGTTGGTGACCTTTGTAGTGTTTCATATTTATTAATGTTCTGTATTGTTACCATCAGTATGCATAATAAAATGTAATAATAAAAAAATAACAGGTTTGGGTAAATGGCATAAAGAGTCAAATATCAAAGATGACTAAACTGGGTGCCAGTGGCTCACATCTATAATCCTAACTACTTTATAATCCTGTACTGAGGTACAGAGCAGCTTAGCTCAAAGCCAGCCCAGACTGAAAAGTCTATGAGATTCCATCTCCAAAATAACCAGCAAGAAGCAAGGCTGGCAATGTGGCTGAAGTGGTAGAGGATCAAGCAAGCAAGCTTCACAAGTGCAAGGCCCTGAGTTCAGACCCCAGCACTACCAAATAAAAGGAGGAATCTTAGAGGACTTGCAGAAATGTGTGATGTTTATAATTATTATAACAAGTTAGTTTATTCTAAGCAAAGGAAGAAAAACTTCATTTTTGGCAATTTACTTAGCTTATAGTCATTTACTCTGGAGAACACTTTTTCTTGATCAGTATCTTTTTTTTAACTTCCATGTTTTCCCCCACTCAACAGAATTACTGAATTGATGGGATATGAGCCAGAAGAACTTTTGGGTCGCTCAATTTATGAGTATTATCATGCATTGGACTCTGATCATCTGACCAAAACTCACCATGATAGTAAGTTACAATGAAGGAACTGAGAGATATTCTGATTATTTAACTCTTGTAATCCCTGCTGTTCGTGCATTTAACTTTATAGGTAAAGTTAACAACCCTTCCTAGTCTGTTTATAGACTTTTATAGAAGGGATCTTGATGGCTATTTAAGTCTTTGCTTTATATTTATTAAAGTAAATATCCTATAAAAGGTGACTCATGACCAGCACCGGTGGCTCATGCCTCTAATCCTAGCTACTCAGGAAGCTGAGATCTGAGGATCACAGTTCAAAGCCAGTCTGGGCAGGAAAGTTTGTGAGACTCTTACCTCCAATTAGCCACTAGAAAACTGGAATTAGCTCTGTGGCTCAAATGGAAGAGTGCTCACCTTGAGCTGAAGTGCTGAGGGACAGCGCCCAGGCCCAGAGTTCAAGCCCCATGATGGACCAAAAAAAAAAAAGTGACTCATTTGATAATACATAAAAACTTCTGGGGCTGGGAAGGTAGCTTCGTGGTAGAGCACTTGCCTTGCATGCATGAGGCCCTGGGTTCGATTCCTCAGCACCACATAAGCAGAAAAAAAAAAACGGAAGTGGCACTGTGGCTCAAGTGGTAGAGTGCTAGCCTTGAGCTGAAGAGCTGAGGGACAGAGTTCAGGCCCACGACTGGACCAAAAAAAAAAAAATTATGACATTTTAATGCAAAGACATTAAAAAGCCAGATACAGATATGGAAGAATAGTTAATCATTTGCAGAATGTCTAAATACTGAGATCAGTGAATAGCAGGCATCTACAAAATATTTAGTGAAACATTAAAGGTGATCAACATCGTACACATTGAGTGACAATTACCCTGGACCTAAGATATTCTGCATTTCACTTAAGTGGATGTTGTTTAATATGCTAGGGTAAGGTAAACTATTCTGTTTAATATGTATCTAACATAACTTCCTGATATGATTAGTGATACCCGAATGTCCCTGAATTAGTGTGATTACCCTTGAACTTCAGTGTGTAGGCCCCTAATCTGCAGTAAAGGTCTGAATAGCACCATTATGATTTGTTCACTATCTTCTCCCAAATCCATCATTTAGATCGTCTGAGTTGCTAAGACCACAATATGGTATTAATTTATATTCAGACATGCTAAGCACAACTTTTTGGAGTGTCTTGGGTTCTCTGGAAACCAGCAGGAATTTAAGGAAATAACAGTGCCACTTTCTTGAGTGATTCCCTATGGAATCTAGCATTCATCATTTTCTAGTCTGACACTTTCACTGTAATAAGCCATTGAAAGAATTTCCTGCTGTCTCTTATTCCTGACTTTCACTTTATAGTGAAGATTGGTAGGTAGGTATTACTTTGGGGGGATTTATTTTCAGCTATGTTGAAATTTAAAGTCACAATTGCTTCCATTAAGGTTAACTACTATCTCCTTATCTAAAACAGTGATCTACATTCAACATCTATAAGTTTTAACAAAAACTTCAGCTATTTCCTCTGTGTGATTCTTTTTCTTCTCATTCCTAGTGTTTACTAAAGGACAAGTCACCACAGGACAGTACAGGATGCTTGCCAAAAGAGGTGGCTATGTCTGGGTTGAAACTCAAGCAACTGTTATCTATAATACCAAGAACTCTCAACCACAATGTATTGTGTGTGTGAATTATGTTGTGAGGTAAGCTTAGGAAATAAACATTTTGGGGAGTGCAATTAGTAACCGTGGGTATGCTGTTCCTTTACAGGAAGAGACAAAGTTATAATTATTCATTGAATTTTCTCTTTCTGCTACTTTTCTTTATAATTATGCATTTTAATACTGTGATCTAAGTTTCTAGGCCATCTATTTTAGTGATTCACTAAAAACTATCACTTGTTGTCTATTTATACACTTTCATTCCTCTTTTTTTTTAAAGACCTTGGAAAAATGGCCCAATTTAGGAGTTACTTTTCTCTAGCCACACACGTGGCTCTATACATATTTCAAGGCCAACACTGTTATTGTAGTAGAGAGGATCTTACATGGCCTTGGGATTGTTATGTGTCAGAGCTCCACTAGTCATTAATTCTGGGACCTTGGGGAAGTCCCCTCATTTTTCACAATCCCATTTATGTAGGTGAGATGATAGTACTTCTGAAGGTTATAATAAAGAACAAGTGAAAGTCTGTTAGAGTGCTACAAATGGCTGTAAAACATTAATATGTGGCTTTGGATCTATTTTAGTAGGCTCGGTAAAAGACTATAGTTACTCTATGAGAAAGAGTATGTGTATTTTGTGTTCTAGGACTATCATTAAACCATATCAATTTTATTAGAGATTTCATTGGAAATATCAAAATTTCTGAATTTGTCATCTTGTGTCTTTGACTGTCATTTTTCTTATCACCAGCTCTCTTCCCAGAGAGTATCTGAAGTTTTAAGTTAAAATTAGGTGAATATTTAAATTTACCCTCTGGTGTGAATGTTATTGGGTGTTTATTTCATTGGAGTCGAGGGAGGCTTTAACTCAGGATTCATGCTGCCACTCAGCTTTCTTGCTTATAGCTGACACTTTACTACTACCATGCCTCCAGTCAGCCTTACAGACTTCTGCCTGGGCTGGCTTTGAACCATGATCCTCCAGGTCTCAGCATTACAGGTGTAACCCATCAGCACCTAGCTTGGTATTGGTGTTTTAAAACACTAAATCTGACAAAGTTACATGAGTGTGTTTCTGAAGGAGTATTAACAAATGTATTAACAAATGTTACTTTTATCTGGGTGCTGGTTGGCTCATGCCTATAATCCTAGTGACTCAGGAGGCTGAGAACTGAGGATCATGGTTTAAAGCCAGCCCAAGCAGGAAAGTATGTGAGACTCTTATCTCCAATTAACCACCAGCCGAAAGTGGCACTGTGACTCTAAAGTGTTTCAGTGCTAGCCTTAAGCAAAAAAAATCTCAAAGACAGTGCCCAGGCCCTGAGTTCAAGCCCCACAAAGAGAAAAAAAATAGAAAATTATTTTTCATAAAGCAGAATTTAAGAGACAAAGTCATGATTTTGTCCATCTTATCATGTCAGGTGTTCATTTAATTACATATCTCTTTTCTTGACAGTGGTATTATTCAGCACGACTTGATTTTCTCCCTTCAACAAACAGAATGTGTCCTCAAACCAGTTGAATCTTCAGATATGAAAATGACTCAGCTGTTCATCAAAGTTGAGCCAGAGGATACAGGCAGCCTCTTTGATAAACTTAAAAAGGAGCCGGATGCTTTAACTCTGCTGGCCCCAGCTGCTGGAGACACAATCATATCTCTAGATTTTGGAAGCAATGGTGGGTGTTTCATTATTTTGTTAATCTCTTAAACTATGATTTCTCTAGTCTTCTTTTAATTCAACTTTGACATTTTTTTGTTGGTAGACATTTGGACATTGCTTATACTAAATTCCTTATGGAAACATAAGGTATTTTGTAGTGAAATTCTAATGTTCCCTTTACTCCACGGTTTCTGTAACCTGCTGTCAGATACTCTGCACTATTTAGTGGAGCTGCATTACAATAGGTATCATTGCATTAGAGGAAAAACCAGCAGTCTTACACCATAACAGCAAACATTGAAAATGAACACTGTAATTTCAAAGTAGGTCATGTTTTAATGGGGCCTGCTGGGGCCTGTTTCTGTAGTGTAGCAGTTAACCACATGTGCCTATGTGAAAAGTCCCTAGTTACCAGGTAGACACTTAACAGTTGGCAGCCAGTAAACTGAGTTGGTTAGAGGATAGTGCTAATAAAAAGATTGGAACTGCAGATCTTTGATGAATATATGTTAACAGGTGTTGTCAATACTACACTAAAAAGATGATAGATTTATGGTTATAATGTCTGTAAGCTTTTCGTTGCTTGAGTGAACTATATAGAATTTTTCCTCTACAGACACAGAAACTGAAGACCAACAACTTGAGGAAGTTCCATTATACAATGATGTAATGTTCCCCTCATCTAATGAAAAACTGTCAACTATAAACTTGGCGATGTCTCCATTACCTGCCTCTGAAAGTCCAAAGGCACTTCGAAGTAATGCTGACCCTGCACTCAATGAAGAAGTTGCATTAAAATTAGAACCAAATACAGAGTCACTGGAACTTTCTTTTACCATGCCCCAGATTCAGGATCAGCCAGCAAGTCCTACTGATGGAAGCAGTAGACAAAGTTCACCTGAGGTAGGTACCATGAAAGAAATATTTAATAACTGATTTTTATCTGTCTTGATAATAAGATTCCTACTAATAAAACTATGCGTGGAAGTAAGGTAGCTGTACTGATTAAAACTTGCTAAATGAGGCACAAATACATTTAATAGATGGTAAATAATCCTACTTTTAAGTATTACTTAAAACTGACATAATTGGAATAGATTTGGTATCTAATAGCTTTGTAGAGAATCTGTCCTTTGCTTTAAAACGTTCGGTTACTTACTCACAAAAGGAAGTCTAATAAAAAATGTGAGAGTGAGAGAACAAACGTATATGCTTAGAAAGACCTTCTATGGTGTTTTTAGTGAGAATTCTTACCCAGAACTCTTCAAAGGGTAGGCAGGTAAGATTAAATTTTGTCCCCATCTCCAGGAGTAGCTATGTGAGTTTTAGGTAGCCTACTGTAGGAGTAGGAGTGTGTATATGCTGGCAAAATTAGTTACCTGTATAAACTCAAACATGTAACTTTTTAGTTAGACAAAATGAACCCAGGTGTTAGTGGCTCATACCTGTAATCTTAGCTACTCGGGAAGTTTATATCTGAGGATCATGGTTTTAAGCCAACGTTGGCAGGAAAGCCTGTGAGACTCTTACTTTCAATTAACCACCAAAGTCCTGAAGTGAAGCTGTGGTTCAAGTAATAGAGACAGACTAGCTTTAGGGAGGGGAGTGGGGGACAACATACTCAGGGACAGTACCCAGGCCTAACTCCAGGATGGCATCTAAAAAAAAAAAGAAGGAAGAAAGAAAAATTTAATAAATGAATAGCATTTCTTGTGTGTATTCTAAGATCTAGTTTCACATTTTACAATAAGAAAAACATGGAGACTTTTTTGGGGAAGGGTAATACCTTTAACTCCTTTCACAGCCAAACAGTCCCAGTGAGTATTGTTTTGATGTGGACAGTGTATTCAAGTTGGAATTGGTAGAGAAACTTTTTGCTGAAGACACAGAGGCAAAGAATCCATTTTCGAGTCAGGTATGAACCTATTTTGTATTAATTTTTATTAACTTTTACCTTGAAGTAACTGAGCTTTTCACAAAGTGTGATCATTGTAAAGAAGTGGTGCGTTTGTTGTTTTCAAGGACACTGATTTGGACTTGGAGATGCTGGCCCCCTACATCCCAATGGATGACGACTTCCAGTTACGTTCCTTTGATCAGCTGTCACCATTAGAAAACAATTCTAGTATGAACACAGTTACAGTCTTCCAGCCAACTCCACTGCAAGAACCTGCCATTAACACCACCACTGCCACTGCAACTGCCACTGCCACTGATGAATTAAAAACAGTGACAAAAGATGGTATGGAAGACGTTAAAATATTGCTTGTATCTCCATCTCCTACCCACGTACCTAAAGAAACTACTAGTGACACAACATCATCATCATCATCTTATAGTGGTACTCAAAGTCGGACAGTCTCACCAAACATAGCAGGAAATGGAGTCATAGAACAGACAGAAAAATCTCATCCAAGAAGTCCTAACGTGGTATCTGTCATTTTGAGTCAAAGGTATTTATATGTAATATTAAAATTACAGTTCTTTGTGTTTTAGCAAGCATGTGTGGTATTAAGTGGTTTCTAAATATGATCTTTGACGTATACCCTTTAAAGAACATAAATTCATATTACCAAATCTGAATTTAAAGCACTCAAAAACACTATTTCTAGGGCTAGAAGCATGGCTCAAGTGGTAGAGTACCTGCCTATCAAGGGTGAGGCCCTGAGTTCAAACCCATGTATAAATAGTTTTCTCTAAAACAACTGTATCAACTGTCCAGATGGAGGTGGTAAGAGAGGGCTTCCTAACACCTTTAGAAACAAATTTCAGCCAGTTGGTTTTATAAATATGTAAGAACTGTCCCAGGCAAACTTCTTGAAATTGTTTTAATCAGACCTCTTCATCTCAATAATGCTTTCGTTTTTCATTTCATATTTTACATCATCTATATTATAGGCTACATTCATCTTTTAATTTTATGTCAAGAATCATAGCATGGTCAGGTGCCAGTGGCTCACACCAGTAATCTTAGCTATTCAGGAGGCTGAAATCTGAGGATCACGGTTCAAAGCCAGCCTGGTCAGGAAAGGCCGTAAAACTATCTCCAATAAACTACCAGAAAAACGGGAAGTGGCACTGTGACTCAAAAGAATCATAGCATGAATTACAACATCATTCCTTTGGGATGAAATAGTGTTTGAGCAAATACTTGTACTTGACCCAATTTTTAAAATTTATTTATTCATTTATTTATTTATTTGTCAGATGCGGGGCTTGAACTCTGGGCTTGGGCGCTGTCCCTCAGCTCTTCAGCTCAAGGCCAGGATACTGCTTGAGCTACAATGATAAGAGTCTCACAGACTTTCCTGCCCAGGCTGGCTTTGAACGAAGATCCTTATATCCCAGCCTCCTGAGTAGCTAGGATTACAGGCATGAGTCACCAGCACCCAGCTTTGACCCGATTTTTAATAGGATTTGTGTATCTTAAATTTGAGTCTCTACTTGGAGGAAAGAAATCTTAGCTACTCAGTGTATGGAGAAGAAAAATGATTCTTCTCTAAAACATGCCAAGAGTAAGATTTCTGTCAACAGCAACAGGAAAGAAGTGCTGCCATAACTATGCTATGGAAGTACTTGGGAGTTATGGCTCAAGTGGTAGAGTGCTAACCTTGAGCAGAAAAAGCTAAGCTAAGAAACATTGACCAGGCCCTGAGTTCAAGCCCCATTACTGGTATAAAAATAAATGTTTTAAAGAAATACTTTATAGCTAGCCTGGTGACACATGTCTATAATCCAGTGTTCAGAAGGTTGAGGAAGGCGGATCATGGCATCTAAGGCCAGCCTGGACTATATCGTAAGACCTTGTCTCAAAAATCAAACTAAAAGGAGTTTATATTCATAAGTTTCTACCCCACTTCACACCTTGAGCTTCATAGGGGTAATGAAGTGATACTAATTCTTAGTTCAGTACCTCACATAGTAGATACTCTGTAAATGTTTGAGTGATTAATGAATATAATATAACCAACAATGATTAATAATTTATAGGTCATTTTTTTAGCTATGGAGTAATTCAGTTTTCCAAAGTCTTTTTTTTGGGGGGAGGGGGCCTGGCCGTGGGGCCTGAACTCTGGGCCTGGGCACTGTCCCTCAGCTCTTCAGCTCAAGGCTAGTGCTCTACCACTTGAGCCACAGCACCTTCCAGCTTTTTTCTTTTTGCTTATGTGGTTCTGAGGAATCGAACCCAGGGCCTCATGCATGCAAGGCAAGCGCTCTTACCACTGAGCTACCTTCCCAGCCCCAAAACCAAAGGCTTGATACCATAACACTGTAGCAATTTTGGAATATTAGTTCCAATATTAATTCCAAACTAAAGATTTAAGAGTTGACCCTTCAAAAATACATGGAAGCTTTTTTCCCTAACACTACATAATTATTTGCAAAATCAAAACATTGGCCTAAACCACAAGACTTAGAGCAAGGATTAAAAAAGAAATCATTGGCTGGGTGGGCGCTGATAGGTCACACCTATAATCCTAGCTACTCAGAGGCTGAGAGCTGAGGATCAAGGTTCAAAGCCAGCTCAGGCAGGAAAGTCCATGATTCTTATCTCCAATAAAACCATTCAGAAAACCGGAAGTGGTACTGTGGCTCAAGTGGTAGAGCACTAGCTTGAATTGAAGAGCTGAGGGACAGCACCTAGGCCCAGAGTTCAAGCCCCACAACCAACCCTCCCCTTGCAAAAAAAAAAAAAAATCATTAAGATGATATGTACATAACAGATAAGTTATGTGGGCGCTGTCCCTTAACTCTTCAGCTCAAGGCTAGCACTCTACTGCTTGAGCCACAGCGCCACTTCCAGCTTTTTCTGCTTATGTGGTACTGTGGAATCAAACCCAGGGCCTCAAGCTTGCAAAGCAAGCACTCTACAACTGAGTCACCTTTCCAGCCTTATTGTTGTTGTTTTTAAGATAGTGTCTTACTGTGTAGCCCAGGCTGGCTTCTAAGTTGACAACCTCTTACCTCAGCCTCCCAAGCGCTGGGATTGCAGGTGTATGTCAGCAAGTTCTATTTTAGAAAATAGGGGTTATGTAGGATGCAGAACTTTTTGTTGTTAAAAATTGAGCTTTTTGAGCCGGGCACCAGTAGCTCATGCCTGTAATCCTAGCTACTCTAGAGGTTGAGATCTGAGGATCATGGTTCAAAGGCAGCCTGGGCAGGAAAGTCTGTGAGACTATAATCTCCAGTAAACTACCAGAAAACCAGAATTGGTGCTGTGGCTCAGTGTAGTGATAGCCTTGAGCTGAAGAGCTGAGGGACAGCACCCAGGCCCAGAGTTCAAGTCCCACAGCTGACCAAAACAACAAAAAAAACAAATGAGCTTTTGGGTTGGGGGGTGTATCTGGGGATGTAGCCCTCAAACACTCACTTGTCTAGTATGTATGAGGCCCCACGTTTGTTCCCCAGCAATTCAAAATACAGTAAACCAAACTTTTGCCTTTATAATAACAAAACATTTAACAGGCAAGAAAGTTATATATACACTACAGTGTTAGAAACATTAATATTGGGAACTAAGGCATTTTGTAATTTCTTTGAAAGAGCTTTTTGGATTTTTTCAAAAACAATAAAACAACCATATTATATAGAACTTTTTTTTCTTTTCCAGAAATACTGTTCCTGAGGAAGAATTAAATCCAAAGATAATAGCTTTGCAGAATGCTCAGAGAAAACGAAAAATGGAACATGACGGCTCACTTTTTCAAGCAGTAGGAATTGTGAGAGCAATTTTTTTCTTTCCTTTCCCTTTTTTTATTTTTTCTTTTCTTGGCACAGTATATTGCATTTTCTCTCAAGCTAATTTGCTGTTCCTGAGTAGCTAGGATGACAAGCATGAGCCACCAGTTTTTAAAAAATATGTTCTTGGTGTAATTATCAAATAATACAGATGCATTTTGAATAAGAAATGACATTTCCCATTATTCTACCCTCAACATCACCACTAATCTCACTAAATGGGAAGTGTATAGTAGTATTAATATATGGCAAATGATTTTATCAAAATATTCAGAGAAAGAAAGAATTAAAAGGTAATTTGGGGTAGTATTCAAGAAGCATGTTTTATGTTGGTATCAGTTTTTGATAGTTAAAAAAAATATTCAACACACTAATCTTGAAAGTAACTCTTTTCTTTTTAGGGAACATTATTACAGCAAGCAGATGACCAAACAACTACTACATCACTTTCCTGGAAACGTGTAAAAGGATGCAAGTCTAGTGAACCAAATGGAGTGGAGCAAAAGACAATTATTTTAATACCCTCTGGTTAGTCCATTCTTCCTGCCCTTTACTATTACAACACAAACTGAAATATGCAAAACTTTATCCCAAGTAAGAGTGATTTTTTGGTGCTTGGCAAGATTAAAAATAAGCTGGGCACTGGTGGCTCACACCTGTAATCCTAGCTACACAGAAGACTGAGATCTCAGGATCACAGTTCAAAGCCAGCCAGTGCAGAAAATTCTGTAAGACTCTTTCTCTTTCTTTTCTTTCTTTTTTTTGCTAGTCCTGGGGCTTGAACTCAGGGTCTAGGCATTGTCCCTGAGCTTCTTTTGTTCAATGTCAGCACTCTGCCACTTGAGCCACGGCACCACTTCCAGCTTTTTCTGTTTATATGGTACTAAGGAATTGAGCCCCGGGCTTCATGCATACAACACAAGCACTCTTCCACTGAGCCACATTTCTAGCCCCTCTGTGAGACTCTTTTTTTTGGGGGAGGGGGGAAGGGTCTGGTCGTGGGGCCTGAACTCTGTGCCTGGGCGCTGTCCCTCAGCTCTTCAGCTCAAGGCTAGCACTGTACCTACCACTTGAGCCACAGTGCCACTTCCAGCTTTTTTCTTTTTGCTTATGTGGTGCTGAGGAATCAAACCCAGGGCCTCATGCATGCAAGGCAAGCGCTGAGCCACTGAGCCACCTTCCCAGCCCCCTCTGTAAGACTCTTAACTCTAATTAATCACCTAAAAACCAGAAGTGAGCAGTGGCTCACTTAGGTATAGCACCTAGGCCCAGAGTTCAAGCTCCATGACCAACAACAAAAAAAAAAAAGATTAAAAAGTGTACAGTCATAATAGAGAAATAGCTACTTATGTTTTTTGTTTGTTTTTTGTTGGTCATGGGGCTTGAATACTGGGCCTGGGTGCTGTCCCTGAGCTCTTCAGTTCAAGGCGAGCACTCTGCCACTTAAACACACTGCCATTTCTAGTTTTCTCATGGTTAATTGGAGATGAGTCTCCAGACTTTCTTGCCCTTTCCTGCCCAGGCTGGCTTTGAATGACAAACCTTAGATCTCAGCCTCCTGGGTAGCTAGGATTACAGGTGTGAGCCACTAGCCATTTCTCATTTTCTGGTGGCTAATTGGAGATAAGAGTCTGATGGACTTTCTTGTCCTTTCCTGCCTGGGCTGGCTTTGAACTGTGATCCTCAGATCTCAGCTTCCTGAGTAGCTAGTATTTACAGGTGTGAGCCACTGGTGCTTGGCAATGTAAGTGCTTTGACCACAGTATGGGTGGTTTTTTTGTCCAGTAGACTGTTAACACTTCCAGAAGATTATTTGCTTTAGTTTCCCCAATACATAGTACATAGTAGGTGTTTAATCAGTTTAATGAGATGTCTTTGTTTTTTCAGATTTAGCATGTAGACTGCTGGGGCAATCAATGGATGAGAGTGGATTACCACAGCTGACCAGCTATGATTGTGAAGTGAACGCCCCCATACAAGGCAGCAGAAACCTTCTACAAGGGGAAGACTTACTCAGAGCTTTGGATCAAGTTAACTGAGCTTTTTCATAATCTCATTCCTTCTCTTTTTCCCCCTCCTTTTCTTTTTGGACACTGGTGGCTCATTTACCTAAAGCATTCTATTTATATTTTCTATATCTAATTTTAGAAGCCTGGCTACAATACTGCACAAAACTCAGTTCAGTTTTGATCCCCTTTCTACTTAATTTACATGAATGTTTTTTTTTTAATATGTTCTTCGATGCCAGATCATGGGCAGCACATTTTCACAGCTCCTTGGGATTTAAACTATTGCATTGCAGTAGCATCATTTTAAAATGCACCTTTTTATTTATTTATTTTTGGCTAGGGAATTTGTCCCGTATCGAATTATTTTTAATAAAATGCCAATATAATTTTTTAATAAAGCAGTAACCTTTCATCATGATCATAGGCTGTTGAAAATTTTTTACTGGTTTCTTTTTTCACACTTTACATAAGTAATGCTTTGCCAGCAGTACATGGTAGCCACAATTGCACAATATATTTTCTTAAAAAAAAATGCCAGCAGTTACTCATGCAATATATTCTGCATTTATAAAACTAGTTTTTAAGAAGAATTTTTTTTTGGCCTATGAAATTGTTAAACCTGGAACATGACATTGTTAATCTTATAATAATGATTCTTAAATACTGTATGGTTTATTATTTAAAATGGGTAAAGCCATTTACGTGATAGAAAGATATACATATATCTGGAAGGTATGTGGCATTTATTTGGATAAAATTCTCAATTCAGAGAAATCATGTGTTTCTAGAGTTACTTTTCAGCTCAAAAGAAAACAGTACCCTATGTAGTTGTGGAAGTTTATGCTAAATATTGTGTAATTGATATTAAACGTAAATGTTCTGCCCACCTTGTTGGTATAAAGATATTTTGAGCAGACTGTAAGCAAGAAAAAAATCATGCATTGTTAGTAAAATTGCCTAGTATGTTAATTTGCTCAAAATACGATGTTTGGTTTTATGCACTTTGTCGCTACTAGCATCCTTTCTTCATATAGGTTTCAATAATTGAGTAATTTTAGAAGCATTATTTTAGGAATACATAGTTGTAGTAAACTTGTTTTTTCTATGTACATTGTACAAATTTTTCATTTCTTTGCTCTTTGTGGTTGGGTCTTACACTAACTGTATTGTTTTGTTACATCAAATAAACACCTTCTGTGGACCAGGCCCCTTTCGGTCAGCTTTTATGTTGAAATAATATTTGCTTCAATACCTTCAGCTCATAAAATTGCTTCCCAATAATTTAAGTAGTTCACGAAAATTACATTGTACCTTTCTACATTTATTACCATGGCCCTAATGTATGCTGTGTCCCATGTTAAATAATAACAAGCATTGTAAAGAATATCTTTTTAGAAATTTGTCGTTTGTAAATTTATGAGCCTATTAAAGTGTAAAACAGAAAGTTTTAATACATTTTTAGTATGAATGGAATGAGTGAAACAAATCACAAAACATTATGATATTGTGTTTTAAAGACTAGTGATTACTCTAAAGATTTTAATTGTTCCCAGGTGAATAAAGTTAAGCCTTAAAAATAATAAATTGCAAAGAAAACATAAATGTTTTTTTAAAAAAAATTGCTAAGAATCTCTATACCTAGACGTAACTTTTTTAAAAAATATATATTGCAAAGGTGATGTAGAGGGGTTACAGTTACTTAAGTAAGGTAATGAGTACAATTATTATTTTTTTTTTGCCGGTCATGGGGCCTGCACTCTGGGTCTGGGCGCTGTTCCTCAGCTCTTCAGCTCAAGGCTAGTGCTCTACCACTGGAGCCACAGCGCCATTTCTGGCTTTTTCTGTTTATGTGGTGCTGAGGAATCGAACCCAGGGCCTCATGCTTGCAAGGCATGCATTCTACCGCTGAGCTACCTTCCCAGCCCCAAGTACAATTATTTTTAATCAGTGTCAATCCTTCATTTTCTCCCAAGAGGTAACTTTGTTAAGTGTGGTGCTAGCTGTTGAACAAGCAATCTACCACTGAACTACACCTCTAGGCCTGTAAGCTTATTTTTATTAACACATTACATAACCAAGGCCAGAGCCTTGGATCCTGTAATGGGAGGTATATATCTTAGCCAACATTAAACAACAAACCTCTTTGATGGCTATTTATTATCTTAGAATGGACCTGTGATTATGAATACATGAGGATAATCGAACAAAAGTTCACAGTACTAATATTCAAAGTTTGAGCAAAAGTATGCTTCATCTCAAACACCCGAAGTACTTCTATAACTGTTACAAATAGCGCTAAAGTAGTTGCGTAATATTCCTGGGTCACAAAAGAAAAAATGTATGCATACCAACTGAAAACTAGACAGTTATTAGTAACTGAGAAGATTATGTAATGGTCAAAAAAATTACTTAGATGGCAGTCATGGAGTGGAAAGCTATGTTAAAGAATAGTAGCTCCTCCATTGGACTCTACTGTGAATGTGTCAGAGGTTTAACAAAGTAACAAAATGAGTACCAGCAGGAAGCTGGAATTTGTGGTTGTGGGTGGGGGGTTAAGTCAAAGCAAAGGTAGTCATTCAATATACATATATGAAAATTGAGGATATGGGTGGGGTTGAGAGAGAATGGGGTTGGAGAGAGGGATAAAAGGGTGACTGATCAAGATGCACTGTACTCAACTGACATGTCAAGCTGAAACCCCTTTGTATAATTACTTAAAGACCATATCAAAGAACAGTTGATCTGTCTGTAGGTTTAGGCAAGCCAGGGCTACATAATGGGATGCTGTCAAAAAAAAAAAAAGTTGGAAGAAAAAGTACTTTCACTTGGTGAATTACAGCCACCTGGAATGCTCAAAATAGCCCAGGTAGAACATGTTCTCTTCCAGTATTGCATACCATCACAAACTCATTGTGTTTTTATCCCAGAAATGCGACCCAGCTGTCCCCTCCATCGTGTTCCTGCCCCTCCTCACGTACGCCTGTTTCCCTCTTCTCTGGGGCCACCAAGAGTGAATGACTCTAGCTAGTATTACTTCCACCATGAAGAAGGTATAACAAAGGGGTTTATTTTGTTCCTTTGTTCAAAGTGCATCACAGATAAGCTTAGAACTGAAAAATGCTTACCCAGAGAGCTGACTGCTGCCATGTACAATGCTCACAGCCTGAGCTAGAGTGAACTTAACATCTGTTGAGCATTGTGTGCAGACTTTGTGCTAAGCATTTTGCATGCTAACTCAGTTGTCCAAGAATTAGTGCTTGTATACCATTCCATGCATTTGAAAGTCTTAGGAAGCCCAGGGTATAAACCACCAGTCCCACAGAACCCACCCTTTGCCAGAGACCCACTATTTAAGTGATAAAGAGAATGCCTGGGGATATCCAAATGGAGGGTTGGTTGTCTCTTGAAAGTGAGATCACTACCTACAGGAAGGAGGTGTCCAAAGAGAGTAGCAGATCATAACCGGAAGTAGAAAAGTATTTGAGAGAACCATTTACTGGAGTTTTGAGCATAAACATTCAGATTAACTCACAGGTAAACTGGAGTTTACCTGGGAGACTCGTGTAAATGGTTCAGAGCTACTTGAGCTTATGGCACAAATAGCTGTTTTTTTCTTAAAAATCTTGTCTAACCCCAGAGTCACCATTCTAAGTCTTGATTTGCTCCTACAGCCCTCTTTAACAGGTTTGAAAGATCAAAGCTCTGCCGAGATGTAAAAGGTTCTGGAAGTTCCAAGTTTGAATGCCACGTCAAAAATAAGTTGCAAAGAAAACGGAATCGTCTTTCTCAACTTTAAAATTTGGCTCAATAAAACCTTCCCAATTGCGTTACCAGTTGGGAGAAGGGGGGGGGGAGAACTTTTATTGGAGTGTTTTAAGCCTGTCCCTAATCAACTTGGCTCCTTTCAGTAGCGCCAAACCTGTTGTCCCCCATCAATCATTCATTCACGCTGCAGAACTTGATATGACAGCACCCCCCCCCCACGCACGCCTCCTGGAGATCGTCGCACTCACACCTTCCCCGAGTCGGGCATCATGACGCTTACCTGTAATGCTGGTTTTAAATCCAAGACACCCGATCTCCGTGTGCTACTTAATTCCCTTTATTCCCAGCCTTGGCTCCACTCCGGGAAGGGTAGACCGAGCGCCGCGGTGGGCAGACCCTCAGCCGGGCCCCCGCTCCTTTCTACCCCTGGCGCCGCCGGTCCCTCATGGTGAGGATACCAAACCCGCGCCACGGGAAAAGCTTCCCCGGCCACGCCCCTGCGCGCCCGGCCACGCCCCCGGCCACGCCCCGCTACGTGCTGGGGCGCAGCATCCCAGCACGGGCCCCCGGGCTCTGGCCCGTGCGTGCTGGCCGCGTGTGCTGGGCGCGGTGGCCTCCCGCCTACGTGTGCGAGTGCATGTGCGAGGCCCGGGCTCACCTCGGGGGGCCTCCGCGCCTTTGTCCTCCCCGCTGGGTCCCCGACAACTCTTTGGATGGAGTGGGGGGGGGGGCCGCGCAGGGCTGGCTGTCACTAGGATGCTGCCTCGCTCTGCGTGTCCAAGCAAATGCTTTGGTATGGGACGCTGTCCTTCGTGGATCAGTGAACTTTCTGAAGTCTCAGCGCCTGCGAGACCTGGGTGAACTAGTCTGCGTTTATTTTACGGGAGTCTTAAAGGAATCGAATCGAAAAGATGAGCTGATTATTTCAATCACCACTCCCAGAAGGCCCTCGCAGACTAGGTTTATTTTAAATCAGTCACTTGGAGATATTCAGTATCTGGGAGCTTTATACCTCTCCCAGGTGGTATTTTGTTTGACTGAGTTAGGGGGGTCGGGGGGAGGAGGAGGGGAGGACTTGTTGTTTGGTTACTTATTGTGTGCCAGGCATTGAAAATCATCGTGGAGAAGATAATCCTGAGGTTCAGAAAGTAGGTGAGTTTACGGAATACGGAAAAGATCGGGGCCTTAAATAAATAGAAGCTCCTGTAATCTTAGCCCGGAACGATTGTACTGTTTATTGTCAAGTACAAAGTCAAGTATTGTTCAGGGCAACCTTGCCTGGTGTGTCCATAGTTCACTACGTTTTACATTTTGTTTCCTAAAGGAAAATGCATTATGTATGGATTGTTAAACAGAATTCCATAGAAAGGATCCATCTTTTCTTTTTTTTAGAAGTGATTGTTTTAATACTTTTTGCTAATGAAAACTTACCAATAGTGGGGATTTAATTAGAGAACTGCCATTTAAGAAGAGTGCTAACATCCAGTTAGTCCTATGAATGCATAAATGCATAAATCATTACAGCCCGGCCACTAAGGAAGTCAGGCTTGGAGAGTTCTGCAGTGTTAACCACAAAAACTTGTTTGGAGTTCTTGTTTTGTTTCTGGGTGGCACAGGTGTTTGAACTGAAAACCTCACACTTTGCTAGGCAGGTGCATTACCACTTGAGTCACCTCCAGCCCAGCAAAGGCTGAACTTCTTAAAAGCTGAGAAATGTTATGCACATATAGCCTGACAAATACACTTAAGATTCTGTCAAGCCAAATGTCTCATTAGAGCTTGTTGAAATAATAAATACCAAGACGCTCTATTTTTAGGTAGAGATCCTTTCCAAATACTTCTAGCTATGATTGGCTCTTTGAATTGTATTTTTAAAAATATGATCTGTACATAATGCCATGATAAAATCTCTTACAGGAGTACTAAATATAAAAGGAAATCCACCCTTACAAACTTGCCTTTCTCCTGATCTGCTGGTAGAGTGTTTAAAGGGAAATCTACCTAGAGTGTGCTACTTTAAAAAAAAAAAAAAAATTGAGACCAGCCAGCACAGATTCAATTGGTACTTTGCCTGAGCCCTTGCTGCTTCCTAGTCTTCCCAAATGTGAGCTTCCTTCACACCTTGTTTTGTTTTTCTGTTTCTTATATTCAGTGATAACTTATAGATATCTTATCTTTCCTCCTAAACCCTTAGCTTCTTCGAAACACAATCTCCAAGGGGCTAAGAAGGTGGCTCAGTGGTAGAGCGCTTGCCTTCCAAACACAGTCTCCTATCTTTAGTCTTCTTTGTTTTGGTCCAAAACCCTTCCTCTCTCTGCACTCACAATGGAAGGTGGATTTCAAGTTTAACACCGAAATCAGAAAGAATAGTGATCTGAGGAAACTGAATGGGGAAAACAACAACAACAACTCTTCCAGGGAATATATACATTCATTCAATGATTGAATGCAAGGTGTCATAAATACTATAGTGCCTATCATGAAGATGGTCATTAACTCTGATTTTGTGAGACACTAAAATTTTGCAAACATTGTTAGAAGCTAAATATTGTGTATATTGGCTGATTATGATGTTCAACCTTTGCTTTTCTTTTTTTCTTTTTTGTCAGTAGTGGAGCCTGGGTCCCTCAGCTCTTCAGCTCAAGGCTAGCACTCTATCACTTAAGCCAAGCACCACTT